TTGCAAATGGCAAGATCTCATTCCTTTTGATGGCTGCATAATATTCCATTGTATATATATACCACATCTTCTTTATCCATTCATCTGCCGATGGACATCTTGCGCAAGCCCAACTTTCTATTTCCCCACCTCAGTTGGTCTTCACACCAACAGCAAGAGGGGCCCTACTTTCCACATGAGGGAAGCCTAGGCTCTCAAGGGAAGACATCTGTTGGCCCAGGGTAGCCAAGGAGTAGTCCAGTTCTGCAGCCATTATCTCCCCTGACCTCAAACCCTCTCCCCACCCCCCATGGAGAGAAAGCTCTGGAGAGCCAGCCCAGCAATAATCAATGGCGGTTACAGTCTTTTTCCGCACACCAGGCGGTGTGCAAGCACGCTGGGTGCATTGTTTTATGCCCCTAGCACACCAGCCCTGGGAGAGAGGCACTGGTGAAGGAGCTGGAGGCACAGAGAGGTTAAGTAACCTGCCCAAGCCCACACAGCAGTGAGTAGCTGGAATTTGAACCCTCCCAGTCTGGTGCCAGCTCCCATATCTTAAACGCTAGGCTCCACTGCCTCTTAGAAGAGAGGATTTCTTTGGGACTTTTCTTGCTTTACCTTAAAATTATTACCTTAATGCTTCAATGAATTAGTAAGAATAATAATGCTATCCTCATTATTATAGTGGTAGAGGTCGCTACTATTTAACTCATTGTCTGCTATCCTCAGCCCTCCCTATTCTGTTCAAGCCACACTGGCCACTCGCTGTTCCTAGAGCTTATCAGGACACCCCCGCCTCAGGACCTTTGCACTGGCTGTTGCCTCTCCCTGGAACTCTTCCGGATCATCTACCCAACCTCTGCCCTCACCACATTCAGCCTCTGCTCAAATGCCACCTGCTCAGGGAAGCCGGGGCAGCACCACCCCACCTACAACCAACCATGCCTCACTCATACCCTTGTACTTCCTGCCTCCTGGTTTGTTGTTCTCTGTTTTACTAATCACTGCCTGACAGTCATAGATCAAATAACACATATTTACTCTTCATTGTCAAGGGCAGGGACTATGCTTTGTTTCCTGCTGTGTCCCCAACTCCTCCTGGATCAGTGCCTGGTACAGAGTAGGTTCTTGGTAAATGCTGAAGGAACTTGTTGAGCCCTCCTGTGGGCCAGCAACTGTTTCGGGCATTTTCACCTGTGTTAAATTGCTCTGATGGGTCAGAAACACGTGGAGATGGAGAGACTAGATGATTTTACCTTTTACATTTTATTTTAGTTTTTTTTTTTTTTTAAGAAAATGAGAGAGAGAGCACACGGGAGGAGGGAGTGGGTGGGCAGAGGGAGAAGGAGAGAGAGAATCTTAAGTAGGCTCCATGCTCAGCGCAGACCCCGATGGGGGGCTGCATCTCACCACCCAGACAGAGACCATGATCAGAGCAGAAGTCAAGACAGACGCCTAACCAACTGAGCCACCCAGGTACCCCTACATTTTATTTTACTTTTTTAAAAACTTAGTGAGGACCTTTACAAACAGGTAGAAAAAGGAAACAGAATGGCATGTAAGTTACCCTGATAAAAAACTGATACAGTATTTTGCCTTTCTTTTTTCCTAAAGCATTTTAAAGTAAATGCAGACAGCCATGACATTCACCTCCAGGTATTTCAGTGTCTGTAAAAACTAAGAACAATTTCCCGCATAACCACAAAACCATTTTCATAACAGCAATATCTACTTCTTGGCTGAAGTGTTTGAAGGTAAATTAGAGCCATTATATTCTTTCACCCCTCAAATATTCCAGTGTGCATCTCTAATGATACAGACATTTCCCCACATAACCACAACACCATTATCCCTCCTAACAAAACTAACAAAAATCCTAACTATAACTAATGATCAACCACAAATGTCCCATCAGGACAAGTTTCTTTTTTTTAAATGTTATTTAAATGCAATTAATTAACATATGGTGTATTATTAGTTTCAGGGGAAGTGTTCAGTGATTCATCAGTTGCATGCATGTAATACCCAGTGCTCATCACACCAGGGACCCTCCTTAATGCCCGTCATCGGTTACCCCATCCCCCCACCCCTCCCCTCCAGCAACCCTCAGTTTGTTTCCTAGAGTTCAGGGTCTCTTATGGTTTGTCTCCCTCTCTGATTCCCTCAGGACAAGTTTTAATCGGAGTGCTGAGGTCCTTTGCCCAAGGTCCCAGAGCAGGAGGAAGGAGAACTGGAATTTTGAGGTTGGTGGTTTTTTTTTTTTTTTGGTGAAACAAAATATATTTTATTTCAATTATACTAGCACAAGAAGGCCCAGGAAGGCCATGGGGAATGCTCGGCACCAGCAACTAAAGCCCACACCGGCTGGCTGGGACTGCTGTTAGCCCTCGAGCCCCTGCCGCATCTGTATGATCTGGAGTAAGGCGGCACACCTTCGTCCGTGTGACCCTGGGCAGCACCAAGATGTGTCCGATAAACTGCAATCAGGGCTTGGCGCTGCTGCAGGGACTTCGCCCGGTGCTGCAGGATGTCCCTCAGCTGGCCCTGCCTCTTGCTGGGACTCGCGCTCTGGGAAGAGAGCTGTGAAAGCCCACTGAGTGTGCGCCCCTGCAGCGTGGAGACGGCTATGTGACCACGGCTACATGAGTCAGAGCCGAGCCTCCCCCCCCCCACTCCTGGCTGGCCGCGCCCTGGCAAAGGAAGTTTTTGAGGAGGAGGGGAAGGAGGGGGAGGAGGGGGAAGCACCCACGCATCTGGGGCTGACTCGCTCTTTCGCAAAATCTCTGGGAGGAGCCCCGGGGGCACAAAACTGTCTGGTTCCCCGGGCCAGACTGAGAGGGGCAGGGAGCCACACGGACTGGAGCTGCGGCCAGACATGGGCCGCCCGGGGCTGCTGCCGCTGCTGCTGCTGTCGCTTCAGACCTGCATTCCAGGTAGGGACCGGGCGCCCAAAACACCTGCGTGGGGACACCGGGGCCCGAACGCAGTGAAGAGGGGGGAGGGGCGGGGGGCTCCGAGCTGGAGGAGTTGGAGGAGGGCGGCTCAGCCCCCAGCCCTCCCCCTCACGGAGTAATCCTCCAGCCAGCTGCAGCCCCACGCAGCACAGGACCCGGCCAGCAGTCGGTGCCCGGGAATACTCGTCGAGCGAAGGCTGTTAACGGCCGCCGAGTGAGTGCGCTCCTCTAAGCTCCTTCCCTGCAGTTTCAAACTGGGCGGGCAGAACTATTCTAGCCCTGTTTCACAGAGAAGGAAACAGGCTCAGAGCGGTCCTGGAGTAAGGGGGATTCTGGCCCGCAGCTCTCTGCGCCCGGTCGGGGCTCCCCTCCGCCCCCGCACCCACCCAGCCCCTGGAAAGACCGGGAGCACGGAGCCTCCTGTTACAAAAGATCTAAATAGAGAGGCCGAACGTCGCAGAGACAGGCGCTGGGGGAAGCCAGGGCTTGTCCCTGGAGGACCCTTCCCTTTCACTATCCCCTAGCCACCCTCTCAACTCCTTTCCCGGGAAATGTACAGGAGAGGGTTGAAAAGCGAGAGGAAATTGAGAAGGAACTGAGTCAGGGCGGGGCGGTTCGGGCATGAATAACCCGGAAAGGTCTCCGGATCTTTCGCGGCCAGGAATGAGTAATGACTCTAGAAGACTGCGAATTTGTGGTGGGGAATGGACCCCAGCAGGGAAGGCCGGGTGGGCGGGTAAAGGTGTTGGGGCGGGGCTAGTGGGCCAACTTATAACCACAGGACGTGCTAGTGGGAGGGGCGAGAAACTCGGGGAAGGAGCTGGGGGCGGGGCGAGAACCTCCGGCGAGGAGCTGAGGTGCTGGGAGAGAACTTCGGGGAAGCTATAGCAGTTGGGGTTAGAACTTCCCGAGGGCTGATGGGTGAAGTTAAAACTTTGGCCTGGACTGATGGGCGGGGAGAGAATGTTGGGGAGAAGCTATGGAAAGGAGTAGAGTCTGGAGGCATTAAGGGGGGGGATAGTCAGTGGGGGTCACCGGGAACTGGGGTAGAACGTAAAGATCAGCTGCAGTTGGGTGAGGGTAGAACGCCCTTAGGAGAGCTTGCGAAGCCGAATAGACCGAGGGCCGGTGGAATGGGGGAAAGGACCTAAATTGGAGCTGGGCTGGAATATCCAGATGGACAGAGAGGGTGGGGATTGGACTCAGGATAGGCCCCGCGCTGATACAGAATTCAAGGGAAAATGAGCCAGGGCGTGACTTTAGGGAAAGACTGTTGGAAGGGATAGAACTTTAGGGTAGGGGGTGTAGATAAAACGTGGGGTTATACATAGGCCGGAAGTACTGCTGACCCGAAACCAGTGTTGGAACCAAAGGGCGGACAGAATGTGGAGCGTGAACCTGAGTGCACAAGGCCTGGAGACTTGGTCCTGGTATTGGGGCATGAAGGAGCAGGGAGGGGGAGCACCGCTCGGAGCTATAACAATCTCTCCTCTCCTCCCTCTTACCCTGCAGCCTCCTGGAGCTTGCAGTGCATGCTGTGTGGGAGGATCGGGAAATGCCAGGTGGAAGAGTGTGCCAGTGGCCAGGACCTCTGCAGGACCACGATCATGCGCATATGGGAAGGTGAGATTCCCCACTACAGCGCGACAGGGAACCTTATTTCACCAGTAATCAGGGAAATGCAAACGAAAAAGACAAGGAGACCCTATTTCATACCCACCAGATAGACAAGCTTTTAAACAATTTGACAATGCAGGGATGGATGAGGATGTGAAGCTGCAGACCTGGTTAATGAGGATAAATTCGTGCATGCACCGCACAGAGCAATTTGGCAATATCTAGTACAGATGATGATTAGCATACCCTCCTGCCAGCAATCCAACTTCTAGGAATATAGAAACCCCAAAGAACCTTGAACACACATGCCCGGGGACACACGTGTAAGAATGTTCTTAGCAGTTATGTTTGTGATACGGGTTAGTCATCAGTCGAGGAGAAACATTATGGTATAATCACACAATGGAATGCTCCACAGCAGTTTATTTATTTATTTTTTTTTAAAGATTTTATTTATTTGACAGAGAGAGACAGCAAGAGAGGGAACACAAGCAGGGGGAGTGGGAGAGGGAGAAGCAGGCTCCCCAAGGGGCAGGGGGCCCGATGTGGGGCTCAATCCCAGGACCACGGGATCATGACCTGAGCTGAAGGCAGACGCTTAACATCTAAGCCACCCAGGCGCTCTGCTCCACAGCAGTTTAAATGAAGGAACTTGAGCTGTAGGTATTAAAGTGGACACATCTCAAAAACATCAGGTTGAGAGGGAAAAAAGCATGTTTCAGGGTATGATATCTTTTAATATAAATAGTATATAACAATATGCAATAAATAATGTATAAATAAATAATAGTATACATTATTATGTGTACCTAGTGTGAAAATCACCTACACCAGTGGTTGCTTCTGGACAGGGCATAAGGGGAATGGGATTTGGGGGGGTGAGCAGGAGGCTTTAACTCTATCTTTTAAATTTAAGTTCTTTTAAAAAATATCTGAGGGGCACCTGGGTGGCTCAGTCGTTAAGCGTCTGCCTTCGGCTCAGGTCATGATCCCAGGGTCCTGGGATCGAGCCCCGCAT